ATAACGCAAAATAATTTCGTAAATTAAAGAAAAGGGTAAACAGACGAAACAGGCAGTACAAGTGCAAGTGGAGCCATCTATGTTTGTAAACAATCAAACAAGTAAACTCAAAGGTGCCCGTCACATATATGTGACGCCCGGCGTGAATGGGTTAAGATAAATGAAAGTCAGCATTTGAGATATTGTTCTTTTAGCTGGTGTATAAAAGCATGGTCTATAAGAATTATGTTAGAACAGTAAAAATAATAATTGTAGTCATTAATTGTGGATAACATTTTCATTTTTCTTGGGGATTTTGAATGCTTATGTTATCATTTCTCAGTATTTCCAGTTACTAATGAATATTATTACTTTTTGTTAAGTTGTAATGATATAGCAGTTTAGGCAAAAGAATCTCAGTATTATTATTCTGTTACAGAAAAATAATTCAAGCAAGAGAAGACTTGGAAGCAAGTGAAGGATATAGCAGTTTCCAAAAGAACTTAAATGAGATAAAGAGCTCCCTGCAGAGATGGAAGGAAGAGGCATGCAGAATTTCTTCCATTGTCTGCTATGGCTTAGGTCAAGTTTCCTCTAGTAGGATTGCCAGGTACCAAACTGGGCTGCTCATGTTGATTCAAGAGTTCTTTGATGTTGGTGTTGAGGTGTTTGACCCTGCTTTCTCATCACTGGATGAGAAGGTGTTAGATTCGCTGAATTTTACTGTTGTTAAAGAAAATGAAGAAGGAAAGAAGCACGTTTTGACATCGACCTTGTTTTACATGCCTCATTGTGGAAAAGAATTGTACAATAACCTCTTGTGGGCAAACTGGAATGCAGAATCACTTCCTATGTGTGTAATTATCGGCAATAGCTTCAGTACCATTGTGCAAAATGTACCGTCAAGAATATTAAAACAGTATTATAATTTTATTGAACGAGCGGAAGTGCTTTATGAAGAATATCCTTTGAAGTCATTAGTGGAACATGATGATGTGTTCAATGACATCAGTATTCATATCATGAAACGAGAAATTACATTAAGTGAAAAAGAAAGGCTTTTGGAAGAATGTATTGAACCGGATTATACAGGCTGTGAAGCTGAGATTGTGAGAACATGAGGACTTTGGGAGACTTGTAAGAATTAGAAATATTTTATAATATTTTACTACAAGGTACAAAAATGGTGCTGAGCTGTAAACTACACTTTCTTGTTATATGTTCCCTCATTTTATTTGAACTCTGTATATGCTCTAAAGAAACCTGCGATTCAGGCTTCTTTAGAATTGGAGATATGAAAGAGTGTCACCCGTGGATAACATGTAGAGATATTAAGGACATGGCTATAGGCGATCTTCTTGGCTTTGGTGCTGTGAAGCAGATTTACTTGTCATCATGGAGGAATCAGGCTGTGGCATATGTCTATATTAACAACAGAGACTATTTGGAAGATTTCAAGGCAGGTTTAGATTTTCTGAAAGGCATTGGTCCAAGTAGGTTCATTGTACAATTGATAGGCTTCTGTGAGGAAGCTCATGTGTATATAACAGAGTATCATCCATTAGGCAATGCTATTAATGTTTATAAGGTATTTAGTGAGAAAAATATTGGCCTAAAAGAGAGATTTCATTTATGTATAGACTATGTTAGTATACTAGAGTTCTTACACAACAGTCCTCTAGGCACAGTAGTAATGTGTGATTCGAATACACTGAATAAAACCCTGGAGCAGTATCTGATAACTTCCTCCCTCAGCCTAATTTTGAATGACGTTGATGCTTTGCCACAAGTGGGACATGAAGGCATTATTTGTGGACACAGGGAGATCAGGGGAGATTTTGTAGCACCAGAACAGAAATGGCCATATGATGGAGAGGAATTCACAGAGGGCCGAATGCCTCGTTACAGTGAAAAGGTTGACATTTGGAAAATTCCTGCCGTGTGTAATCACTTTTTGGGGAAGAGTGAGGAGGCAAGAATATTCCGATACCACGTCTTTTCAACTCACAAACAGTGTCGGGAGAAGAGGCCACAGTCTAGGCCATCAGCAAGAGAGGTTTTACAGTTGTATGAGGATCTTTTAGAAGGGTATTTCAGTGAAAGTATTTTCAGTGCAAAAGAAGAATTATAACAGTATAGAATTCTGGTGATTTGTTTAAAGAAATTATGTATTTGCTGGCCAATTTAGTTTCTGGTTTATGTAACACTTCTATGTACACTTTTATATTTGTAAATTTAGTTCAATATTAAATATAAGATAGCTGTGAAAGAAGATTTATTATAGAATACAATTTTTGTTGAAGAATATGAGAACAACCTTTATTACATATGAAATTTACAGAACTTTCACCTGTTGCCAGTATCTTTTATGGAAGCTATACTGTAAACTTACTGTTCCTTTAGAGTTATATTTTAAGCCTGTTTAAATTTTGTAGAATCATAATTGTAAACAGTATCCTGCATTGCATTATTTGGAAAATAACAAATTGAATATTCTTGTGATAATAAAGAGATATTTATA